AGCGGAATGAGCACAGAAAACATGCATCTGAAATCTGTGGAAGACACAAGGTTGACAGGGATGATGACTCACATAGTTGGTTTAGTAGCTTGAACTCAAATGTTCTCGTAAGTGACAAAATCAAAATTTAAATGATTGTGACCAGCTGCAGTAGCAGGCCATCACCAACACAATGAGGTATAACAGGACAGATGTCAACCCTCTTCTAGGGTGTACAGTTAGAGAAGTGCTTTTCAAACCTGAGGGCGCACTGGACACCTCCCTAAAGCGCAGAGCCTGATTCTGTGTGTGGTGTTTGTGACCGCACATTTCTAACGGGCTTCCAGGTGGATCCAAGCCACACGCTGAAGGTGACTAAAAAGCCTGGCATGGGGCTGGGGATTTAGCTCAGCGGCACAGCGCCTGCCTGGCAAGCGCAAGGTCATGAGTTCGATTCGCGGTACCGGAAAAAACAAACAAACAAACAAAGATAAAAAGCCTGGCATGATCAGTTAGTTGCTCCTGCATACCACCAGAGAGATGTGTCAGATGTTTCTGCCTGTCTCATCCTCAGGCAGCTCCCTGAATTTTTCCAAAAGATGGAGGAAGACTTAGACTTTCACCCTCCCTGAGATAGCTGAAGACACTGTATCGTGAAAACAAGTGGCAGAATCTGGGAAATGATTGCTCCTATGCTCACATTTTAGGCAAAGCCTGTTTTCTGGCCTTTGCAGACTGTAGTAGACTCTTGTGCAGGATTCTTCTGTATGCCCTTTTCTACAAACCCCGGTCAACTGTTTTGCCCAAATTCAATAAATCCACAAGCAGTAGCTGGAAGACAGATTTTTAAAGCTGTAGTATGCAAAATATACAATCTTTAAAAAGTTAGGATTTTAAAATATTCTAGTCACAAATCTAACAAAAACATACAGTGATACAAAAGCATACAGTGATCCTAGGTTTGTAACTTTTTACTAACTCCCAGTCCCAGAGGCTAAGGCCCAACAGTGCGTCAGGAGTTGAGTGAATAAAGCTCGTCTTGATGTCTGCCAGTGTCCAGGTCCCCAAGGAGGTGTGTCTCTCCCCAGCAAATCTGGGCTGATTTCCTCCCCTAACTCAGAGTCCCACCTCAGAAGCAAGCCTGCCAGGGTCAAATCAACTATTCTGATTGGTTTAATGGGACAGGTCTTCCTTTGGTGCCTTGGAAGCAGACACGAACAGTTACTGCCATTTCCCACATATTGGCTCATTCTTGTTTTAGGGACTAGAGTCTCCTGAGGGTTTTGGAGAGAGGACCTGAGTTCATTTTATAAAAAAAAAAATGTTCTAATCCTTAATCTCTATTAGGATCAGCACTTCCACATGAAATACACTGAGGATTTGCTCCTACTGTGGAGAATTCCCTTAAGACCAGTCATCTTGTAAACAGCATTCAAATTTCAAAAAGCTTCTGAAGATGTTACTTGAATATACAACTGGAAACCTCAGGACAGCATGGATTAGCCACAACAAAGACATTCCTCAGGGCATAGCCTCCGACTAGAAACTTCTGGGACTTGCCTGAAACGGAAGAGAAGGGAAGCAAAGATAAGATCCAGCATCCTCACAGACCTCACTATTCTCAATTTCCACTGTAAGGAGACAAATCAACTCCTTTGTATCTTCACAACCATGATTTTCACTATGACTGAAAGGAAGGAAGATGCACCATCAGAAATACAAAGCACATTCCTCTGATGAGGTTGAATAGTGTCCTCCCCAAATCCATGTCCATCTGGAACCCTACAAAGTAACCATTTGGAAGAAGTTTCTTTGCAGGTATAATTAGCTAAGAGTTAATATGAGATCTTACTGGATTAGGAAGGTCCCTAAATCCAAAGACTGCTGTCCTTCTAGGAAAAAGAAACAGACTTCGGGAAGTTTGTGTGAAAAGAAAGGCAAAGGTCTGTTGCTACAAGCCAGGTGCCACCCGAAGCTGGAAGTTAAGGAAGAGTTCTCTCCCAGAGCCTTCCGAGGGAAAATGGTCCTGCAGACACCTTTTGGACTTCTGGTCTCCAGAATCTCTCAGACATTTCTGTTTCTACCCAGTTTGTGGTAATTTGCTACGGCAGACATGAAAGACTCACATAGCTCAGTACAGATCCTTACTGTGCCAATGCTTGTATTCTTTCATTAGGGTCTGTCTGGCCTAACACCACACACAGCCTACAACTAAATCTCACAAGGAAAAAAAATGTGTGTTGTTTTCCCAAGGATTACAGTAAGTTTCTACAAGCATTCCTGGGCTGGAAAACAGTGTAAACTGAATGAAAAATGGGACTGGGAAAGTAGCAAAAGACAGACCAGTATACTGTCACATGCAAATAAGGGGGCAAATAATAGTAATTATACATAAAATCTGGAGTGATATATACAAAACAGGTAAAAATGGATGAATCTGGGAGGGAAGCAGGGGACGTGGGGTGTTCTAAAAGTTAGAAAATTATTTTGGCATGCTCCTTTTCTAGTGTTTGAGAAGTACCTATAATGTTTTCATTTAAAACTAGGGAAGTAATGAAAGTTACCGCTTCCAACTCTACAGGAGGCAAAGTTACGGACATAAGAATTATTCGGGGAGCTGGGGTGTCAGTGATAGAGCACATGCTTAGCATGCCAAAGGCCCTGATTTCAATCTTGTGAACAACAAAGCCATTCTGTGAAATGGTTCCTCTGTATTATTCATATATTTCTGCTTTTAGCCTCCTACCCGCCGATCTCCAATGCATACATAAGACTGTATATAATCTTATATTTACACTAAGATTCATACATTTAGCCAATGATTTTCATCAATGTAACACAGTACTATAGGTACACAGGAGGTAAAATATGTCATTCAAAATCTACCAATCATTGCAAGCATTACCGACATACAATGTTTACTTCATACGACACACATAGGACCATTCATTCAATTCTCACCATCACCTTACAGCAAGGTACTACTTCTAGATGAAGAAAGAAAGGCACAAAGAATCTGCTCAAGGTCCCACCCTGGTGAGCAGCAGGACAGAGGTGGGTGGTCAGGGTATCTTTTAGTGCAGGCAATGCAGTACTGCCTGCGTGCCACCTGCAGCAGCAGAACTTAGAGACGCTAACATGACCTTAGTATCTTAAGACTTGCCATTAATGTTGCTCTCATCATGCTGTATCCACAAAACCGAGTCTTAGAATGAGTTTCTTGGGAGTATTTTACTTTCCCTGAACGTCCAATGCAGCAAAAGCTACATAAATTCTGATACTGCTACAGCTCTATTTTTCATCTCATCTACCCAGCCAGGGTTCAGGTACATGAACATGTGAGGATTCTACTTGCATAGCAGAGTTTCTCAATGTTTTCCCAAAGAAAAATATCCTGAGAACCAATTTCTAAATGGTGAAATAACTTTAGTGAAAAAGTAGCCAGGTGTGGTCGTACAAACCTGTGATCCCAGCAGAGGCAGGAGGACTGCAGGCTTGAGGCCAGCCAGGGGAACTTATCGATGTAGTAAGACCCAGTCTCCAAATAAAAAATAAAAGGGCTGGTGAAGCGGCACATTCCAAGTGCAATGGCTCGGGGCTGGGGATTTAGCTTAGCGGCAAAGTGCCTGCCTGGCAAGCGCAAGGTCGTGAGTTCGATTCCTGGTACCGGAAGAAAAGACAAAAAAAAAAACTAAAAACAAGTGCGATGGCTCTGGGTTCAATTTCTAGTTCTGGGGTGGGGCCGGGTGGGGCAGAAGCTAAAGCACTGATACAACTGAAATGCGTATGAAAAAACTAACATGTTTAAAGAAGTCAGAGAAAAAGATATCAAGGGTACATAATGCTCATAAGTAAAACAAAAACATCTGTGTCAGTTTGGGAAGGCATATGAAAGTGCTTGAAAAGATACAAATCTTAAAAAATAAAATCTAGCTTCTAGGTCATGTACAAACATGTTACACAGTAGACTTTTGTCTCATACTGTCACTAGGTCATGTTGAGAACAAAGTTTTATAAACATTCAGTTGGTTCATTATACAACTAAGCAAACAGATGAAGTCCAATCTAATCAGCTGAGACTGGTTCCATCAGTTACCCAAAAACTATGCCTTACCACTTGGTCCTCCGCTACAACCACAATGTATCAATTAAAGGTCTTAACAAAACTTACCTCAAATGCAAGTTTTAAGAGATACAGGCTTTAAAAGAATGTTAAACATTGCTTGTTTTTAGAGGAAGACTCTCATAGGTGTTCGGGAGAACATTTAAAAGGGCAGTTACAAGTGAATGGACGAAATGGGTGGTTTTTTATATAAAATGGACCTCATCAAGTTGCATTAAAAAATAATTAAGTGGAAAATTTCTGATACTTTCCCCTTTCACCGTTCATCCCCTCTGATAAACATTGAGGGGAGGGGGCTACAAACTCCAGTGCTCAAAGCATCGGAGAAGGGCGCCAGCACCTGCCTCCTACCGAAGCAGAGCGCCCCGGGCTCGCTCCTGTCAGCTGCCACATACAAGGGTGTACCGCGCGATTTCAGGTCTTCTGACTTTTCAAAAGAAATGGAAATATAGATTTTGTGAATTAAAACTGTATGCCAAAGAAAGTACATCTGGAGATCAAATCTCCCCCAAGGCCACGTTTTCGCAAACTGAACGGAAGGTGACTTTGGATACACTTAGTGCTCTCTGTGAGATACATTTCACAACATGAAGTTTAAAAATGTACAGTAGAAATATGTTCTGAAAACAAGAATCTTAGTAAAGGAAACCTTGATGGGCCAAGAAAAGCTTTTGTAATGAACTTTAGCTTTGTGAGTCAAAAAGCATGCAAATTTAGAACTATTTCAAAGAAAGTGATACAGCAACTTGGATCTGCAGCTCTGGAACCCAAATGCTAACACTCCAAAATAAATCCCAACCAGGCCCAAGGAAGATGCACTGCCCAGCAGAGCGAGCCTCCAGGGACTGGCTACTCCTGAGAACTAGCCTTCAAAGTCAATGACTGAGCAAGGTTGTTCTTATAATAAAATAATTATTTTAATGAAGTATTTGAAATAATTTTAAACATCTGATCAATAAGATTATACACAAATGTGGGAGTATGCTGCACTTTACAAAAAAATAAAGCTAAGCATTTAAATATACAAAACAACTTTGGGTATAGATCTCTTCTTAAAGTACTCTTTTAACATATACATAATTTATAGCATTTTATATAACTTGCTGAAACAAACAACGTGGCTGATTTAAATCCTACTATAGTATGTGGCCATAACAGTCCCAATGGGAAGAACAATACGAAGAGTAACAGACTTGAGGTCTTTGTTCCCCTGAATTCTTTTTCTAAGCAGCACAGCTTTTCCCATTTTTAAAACCTTCTTGGAGGATTCAAACATTTTTTGTGTATGCAATTTTAACAACTATTATTTTTTGTCAGTTATAATCCACACAGGTAGAATTTAAAAAAAAAAAATAGAAGGCTTGCTTTGCACATCACCATCTTCCTCAGAGGATCTCTATCTCAGCCACAGCACGTACTTCTCATGTTTGGAGCCAAGAACCCCAGGCTCCCAATCGGACAGTTACCTTTTAAGTACAGAATCCAAAGGGGACTCCTATTGCTTAAAATTTCTAATCACCAATTAGGATTTTTTAAATGTACCAAGATGCTTAAAAATTTAAGGTAACTGAAATTTTTTAAAGGAGAAGGAATTGCCCAAACCATCCTTCTCGGAATTTAAAACAATACAAAGCAAAAAAATTAACTTCCTTTTCAAATAGCACTGGAATTCAAAAATGTCTGATATGCTTTCCTTTTTTGGACAGGCTATGATATATTTTTCCATCAGCAAAGCGCACCCCTTCCTCTTCGGGCATGGGCGGCCTTTCCTGTTGTATGATTCCATTTTCATCTTTCCCTGCTCAGTTTAAACTCGGTGTCTCACTACTCCTTCCGGCACTGTCTCCCTTTTCCATTACCAACAAGGTGTATCAGCAGCAGCTTCAATTTGAAGGCTTCCCTGACAAGGATGTCCTCTCACGTGGTATCAGAAGCAGCACGTGGTGAGAGAGGCCAAGGAACTGGCAACTTCAGGCACAGCCTGTCCCCACCAGTGTCATTCTGACAACCCTGGGGCTCAACCCAGCCAGGTCACCACAGTGGTCTGTCACCTTGAACTACCCAAGGTGACAGTTCCGGTTAACTAAGCGACTTGTGATTCCAGCACAGGAAACCTAACGTTCTGAGACAGGCTCAGTTGAGGAGGAAACACATTCTTCTTGGTAAGTGGTGACTTCCCCTCCTCAGTGTCTACACACAGGCTGTTATCAGGGGAGACGACTCCTTGTTACAGTCAGGCAAAGGAAGCAGGATGTAACAAGTGGAGCCTTAGCCTGCTGTAATTAAGCACAGAGGTAGCAACTGCTATTTCTGTGTAAAGTGTACTTCATAACTAATTTTCAGAAGACAAGGCTGAGTTCTAGTCTGTAAGAACCCCACGAGATGTACAGTAAGATTTCATAAAAGCTTATTAACAGTAAACAATGGTCTTTCATGTTGGTAACTGTTCTCCAGAAACGGAGTTTTCAGGACAGTGCAACAATCCTCTTTTGGTCTTCTTTGGCAGTAAACAACAAGGATCTGGACGGTGAGTGGAGCGGTCACTTCAGAAGGGCAAGGTACAGAGCTCGAGAGTACTTCATCTCCCTTTCCTGTTCCATACAGAATATCAAGTCCCTGAGGCAGATTCTCGTGATTCTTGGACGGAGCAACTGTTTGGTGGCTGTCAGGCTGGATGTCCCACAAGCAAGATTGTCTCTTGAGCCCTAAACAGAATGAAAGGAGAAGCACTGTAAAAGGGCACTCTTTCATAAAGGGAGAGCCCACCGGGTGCAGACGAGCCCACTAGCTTCTATGCATCAGGTAGGTATGGAGACCATGGTATGAGGAAGATGCAGGCCTGTCCTCCAGCAGCCCACACTCTCTCATGCACTCCTCCCTGGGACCTAGCCATGGTCTCTGAACTTAGGTATTTCTCTACTTTCAGGCCATTTCACTCCATTTTCCTGCACATTCCAGACCAGACTTTGCACTGTAAAGATCTTACACAAAACTTTTTTAAAGTGATGGATGTGTTTTTCATTTTGATCATGGTGATGATTTGACAGGTATATGCATACACAAAAACCTTATCAGATTGTACATTCTAAATGTGTGAGGTCTGCTGTATGTCATTAGCAAAAATCAAGATCAAAGACTTGCATGAATTAGACTGTCAATGCTCCCCACTGTCCAGTATAGCTACATGGGAACTTGTAAAATGTTGAGAACAGTATTACTCACTTTTTACACGTTATCTCTTTTTCTTTCATACAATGTTGCTGCAAGTTATCTGAGTGCTATGCTCATTTATCAAATGAGGAAAGTGAGCTTCGAAAAATGAAGCAATCTGCTCAAAGTCACATATCAAGGTTGAGTTGGGAGTCAGTTTCTAATTTGATTTAATTAAATGCTGTTAATCACTGTACTAGATTGTCACTCATCCAGGAATGCGACCATCATCTTGGCTTCCTTTTGGCTTTACTTCCCACACCTTCTTTATAAAGTATCTTAACTCTAGCCACACTATCTCTCTGCCAACAGAAGGAGCCATCCTAGGTCAATCTATTCATCTTCTGAGATTCATTTCAAATGGGTCCACCTGCCCCCCCATCTGAGGAAATTCTCTCTGTCAATGACCTTACACTGGTATGATAGTCATTTGTCTGTTTCCACCACCATCACATGCCTACTAGATCAGAAGCTTTCTGAAGACAGTGATTACTGTTTCTGTTCCACTAGGGCTTAGCAAAGTACAGAGAAAAACAAGAGGCATCAATAAGATTTTCTGAATTGAAATTACTGCTTCAGGGGCTGGGGATTTAGCTCAGCGGCAAAGCGCCTGCCTGGCAAGTGCAAGGTCATGAGTTCAGTTCCCGGTACCGGGAAAAAAACCAAAAAAACCAAAAAAAAGAAATTACTGCTTCAAAACCAGGCAAGCTATGTGAGGTCCAAATGTCATTCAAAAATGAATGGAATTTTATATTGTTGTATTAACAGCTTTCCAAATATTAATGTCCATGCATTACTATCTTGAAATAAAATTGGAAGAAGAAATGAAAAGCTAAGAATTCACAAAGGATAGTCTTATAAAAGTTTACTCTTTCTCTCTTTTGTACCATACTTTGCTTCAAAAACCATCTTGATAGGATTGGCAATTCTGTCCATTCAAAAGACTGACATGAAAAAAGATGTTTGCCTAACACAGAAAGCAATTCTGGTTCTGTTACTCTCCTTTTATAACCACCACATTTTAATTCCTCCCTCCATGAGAGAGAGAGAGAGAGAGAGAGAGAGATATTAAGGTTTCCAAAATGCCAGAGTAAAAAACCATCAACTTAATTCCATTCACGGCCATGATTTGGGGACACTTTATCTGATGGTAAAATAAATTCTCCTAAAAGATACTTTGGGTTTTGAAAGATATGTTATCACAATCATATTTCCATATTCATTAGGCTAAACTTGTTTCCAAGAATCTGTGGCATGAACTTTGGAAAGCCCACGTTTTAGAAAAGGGAAAGTTGTTTCTGACTGCACAAATGCATGGCCACCTGTTCAGAAGCTGACTGGGAGCACAGAGCTTCTGCAGGGCTTTTGGTAGGAATGCCACCTGCACATGTGCAAGAATCAACCTCTGTGTCCCTGGCCAACGGTGGCAGGTGAGCACTGGGCACACAGCTGCCCTCGGCAGGGGTCACCACCCAGAGGTGGTGCAACTTACACGTCTCCTTAACTACTGTACGTTATCACCATGGAAAGACTTTCACAAGATTTTTTCAGAGTGCGCCCACAACTCACCTTTGAAGAATGAATAAAAAGTACATATTAGGAAGGAAGTTAGTAAACCCTGTCATTGGTAGTGAGTTGTGTCGCTTACTGGAGTTCTCTGTTTAGAACCATAGTACACTTAACTAGGGCAATTTCTTTAAACATAAATTAGAAGTATTACACTAAAGCTGAATCTATATATGTGTAAAAATATTTCCTACAAGAGTTGGCCTAAGACTAGTAGGATCAGCGCTTCATACCAATTTTTAAATTGAATGACCAGATTGATATTATGTCATGGCTATTTCATTTTTATGTAATACCTAGAAATATGTCATATTTAATCAAAACTCACGTAGGAGAATGTTTCACACTACTACTCACAACAGCCGTAACTGGAGACAATCCCAGCGTCCATTAACAGTGGGATAGATGGGAATATCACAGACTGAAAGTGCAGCTCGGTGGCACTGCGCTTGCCTAGCATACGTGAGGCCCTGGGTTCAATTGCTAGCATTGCAAAAACAGACAAACAAACAAAATACTGGGGCGTGAATACACCACAGACCACTACACAGCGGTAACAGTTGGGTAACGCAGCTGCACATCACAACCAAGTCAAACGAGAGGACACAGGAACACAGGAAGACAGGAAGACATACTGACTGCGTTTCCACCAAGTTCCCAAACATAAAAGCTAGAAAAAGCAAAGCTGTGAAGTCAGTGGAGTGAGTCCCCCGGGGGCCTGAGGTGTGACTACAAGTGCAGTGTCTCCTACAGTCCTGGCGATGTTTCCGTCTTGGTGTGACTATCTACACGAGTGTGCCCATACCGTGAGGATGCCCATGATCTGTGCATTTTTTCTATCAACCTTATATTTTGATAAAAACTAAATTACTAAAAAAATCTTATCTCCATAGGAAATTAAAAGAAGGGAAAGGGGGAAAGGAGGGAAAGAAAAGAAAAAAGGCAAAATTATTAAATGTTTAAAAAAAGAGAGACAGAGTCAATCATCTGGGTTAAGGAACAAAGGGGTCACAGTTCACATTTGTCATGTGACACGCCTGAAGGACGGGGGAGGGGTGCATTACAGCTGCCAGCACAGGGTTGAAAAGGAGGTCATTCCAACAGGATGCAGCAGAAGGCCTGAGGCAATGTTATAAATGAAACAAACCCCAAGGGACAGTCAGCAAGCCAACAGAAATGTCTTTCATAATTCACAACTTCATGAAGGTGATAGCATTCTCTTCCCCTAAACAGTGACTGAGAAAGTCAATCTTTTTTGAACCTGAATCCAAATATATGCCGAGCATTTTTATTTCCCTGTGTCTCATTCAGGAGAGTCTACCGTTCTGACGTGTTCTTCTGACCTGTTCATTCCATGATGACTTGGCCAGGGTAACCAGCCCCCTCTCAACCACCCACAGAGAAGACGATGGAGCGCATCCTGGAAATTTACAGACATAAACACCACATCTGCCTTTTACAATTAGCTTTGATTTTCCTTTACCCCACCAAGTCCCTTCCCCAAGGATGAGCAGGTCTGACGGGCGGTCACAGCACAATGTCAATGCCAAAGAACACCAATGTAGTTGAGGGCCGAGTTTGTGAGGAAAAAATCCAGCCACCTGTCACAGTGCACTGTTTATTTCTGCACTGGTTTGCTCACTGGACTTCCTATATGAAAGTATTTCTTAATCTGCATTCTTCACCGTAGGAAAAGAGGGTAGGTGAATGGAAGATGAAAGAATCCACTTCCTAAGCACCCAACACACACCCTAGGAAGCCTAAGCAAACTTCACTGCTGACCTACTCCAACACTGCCAGGTCAGTCAGCACTCACTAAAACCTTTGTGGAAGTCTTTGTTTTTATAAGAAAAAACAAATGATTAGTTACTAGTTTCGGAGAAATAACACTGTTGTAAGAATGAATTAAGCAACTAAAAGTAAAAGTCATCAGTCATCCAAGTTTTTATCCCTTTAACTTAAGAGTGTAGGTGCTCTGAAGCAAAACCTTTAAAGCTTTTCTACTTCTTCTTCCACATTTCCTTATGTCAGATCCTGCTCTACTATGTCAGAAGCAGAAACAACAGGGTTACAAACCTGGTGGCTTCCTGAATCCTGCTGAGGTTCTATGCCTTTACATTGGGCCTGTTTCCTAGCAGACCACACGAGGTTCGTGCTAGTCCATGTTCTGGTCCAACTCAAAATCACTTGGGTTACTGGGCTCTCCCTAAGGGTGAGGAACTAAGCTACACAACACAGTGGTGAACACCAGTTGTCAATTTCATAAGCAATTTCAGACAAATTACTTAACTCTCTATGCTCTGGTTTCAGGTCTGCAAACCAGGGATAGGAATGAGCTCGTGAAGTTGGTTACAAGGCTGCTTTGAGCACTGGGACATTGTATACACTTTATAAATGCTGGGCCTTATCATCACAGTGAAGTCAGTGGAAGGCAGTGAATGTAATTCTAGCTCTAGAACTTTCTTCCTCATACCAGTTAAAATTTTATGCCTATATTCCTGTTTCTTGCATTTTTGTTCAATCACTGGCTAACTAACTTCAGAGAAATAATTCATGCTGTCACACTTACCTGTGTTACATGATCTTATCTCAGTGAATTTTTAAAATTTTAGTGAAGCCTGGAATGCTTAAAGCTAAAAAGCAGACTACAGCCATTTCAGCTCTGTGGCAGGTGGATGAAGGATGTATCCTGGGCCAGGAAGTTTTCCTTACACCCTTCCAATCAAACAGTGGGAGATATTCTGCTGCTGCAAAAAGCCAGCTCGATCCTGACTCGTGAGTGTGGTAACTGGGTGTTCGTGCCACATGTGTAAGATGTTCTCCCTCAAACCGCATTACGAGAGACATTACCTGTGAGACTAAAAACAGACTCAAACCTGCATATAAAAAGTCAACTGGCTTTATCAGGACGGTCTCTAGAAACTGAAAG